ATGAAATATGGAGACTTCTTGTAGAAATCCGATGTGGGACAATATGTTATAACTAAAATCCTATTGAATCTTAGTAGATGTGATAATTGGGCTTTTATTATTAATTGGATTGATTTGGCCTTTTAGGCCAAAAACCCAATTAAGAATTAGGCACATCATATATATATATATATATATATATATATATATATATATATATATATATATATATATATATATATATATATATATATATATATATATATATATATATATATATATATATATATATATATATATATATATATATATATATATATATATATATATATATATATATAAATTTTGTACGTGTTTTGAAACACGTTACTCTCTAAAAGGTTTTTTTTTTTATATATTTTTAAAATTATTACAGACGCTTATCTGATTTACCTATCAAGTACAGAATCGGGCAAACATTGCTGCATATCTTGGAAAACATTTGGAGAGGATCGGGTCTTATGTCTGGATAATGTGTGGTTCATAGAGAGATAGAAGAATTTAGAGTTCGAGAGTCGAGAGTCTGGACTTTAAATCCGTAATAACACACTCGCTCAATTTATTTTGTGGATGAATCCATTTTACGATGTGCACTGTCTCACACTCTCTTACCTCTGAATTCAATTTAGTTTGTGAAATACTCAATTATATGTGAAACTCACCACATTCGATATCCTTCCCTCTATCTGAGTGCAGTGTGAATTCACACACTTTTTTTTTTTTTTTTTGAGATAGTGAATATACATATTTAACCATGCCCTAGATCATTCTAAATTAAATTTGTTTGAAAAATCACTATACACTCAGTCATTTGAAATCCTTCCTTCAAATCCTTCAATCCAGATTTAACACTGCTTAGATTATTGTAAATTCGTGATGCATGTTTTACAATGAGAAATTCATTTTAAAAAAATTCACTACACGTGCAGTCATTGTCAATTTACGCATTTACCCGGCTGTTGATTATTACAATACGCGTGTTTTATATTTCTTTTTTCAAAAGGTACACTTATTCATGTACGGGCTACTTTTCGGGCTAGCGGACACATGGGCGGCAATGCCGGACAACAAGTTGGTGGGAAAAGCCATTAGAGACCCGGAAAAGCTCAAGATCATAGCAAGCAACCCAAGGAGATACACGGGCAAGCCAAGAGTTGGCACTATGAGGGAGATTGCAAGGCAGTGCGAGTACGTGCAGAACAACTTCGATAAAGTGCGGGTCCCGTTTCTGACGGCCCACGGTACCTCCGACGGGGTCACTTGCCCGTCCGGTTCGAGGATGCTGTACGAGAAGGCGAGCAGTGAGGACAAGACTCTGAAGATTTACGAGGGAGGTTATCATTCTTTGATACAAGGTGAGCCTGATGAGAGTGCTGATCTTGTGCTTGCTGATATGAGGGCTTGGATTGATGCTAGGGTTTGATATATATATATATATATATATATATATATATATATATATATATATATATATATATATATATATATCTATATACACTTATACTTGAGGCAATATGAGAACATGTGTTATTGAGGTTGTGAGAAGTGGAAAGTGCATGGAGAGAATATTTGACTTGACTTGACTTGATTAATGTAATAAATAAATATGTAATATAAATACATTTTCATGATTAATATACATGTGGTTACAATTGCAAATTAAGTGGATCAACATATGGGAATCTTCTTCTACACACCAATGTGGGTGTGTGTGTTTGTGTGCTTATGAATCTAACAAAGAGCGTCGAGTTTTGTGCAAAGCCCCACAGTTATGCCGGATGCAAATGTAGCGTAGCCAGCTCTGAGGGACTCGGGTTCGTAAATCATCGAAGAAGGCACACTCTCGAGCTTTGTCTGAAGAATGATAGCCACAATAACTCCGTATGTAGCAACAGCCTCACAGAAAATCACAGTGAGCGGATAAAGATAAATTGAAGAACAAAATTTAGCTTAGCTCCGACTCCCGTGGAATGCCCTACTCGTGATTTATTTCCTACACAGTTGTTAGTTTGAAGTTAAATATTTCAACTTATGTTTGTTCAAAATCCATTATACTCAATTTTCACACATATATTTACGCGCACATACACATCAACACACTCACGTTTTTTACACACACACATATACAAACATACACACACCCTTGACACACAAATAAACACACACTCGCATACCCTTTTGATCCACGCACACACACCAACACACACATTCACACACTCCAATACCCTATTCACACACACACAAATACACATACTCCAATACCCAGGGGCGGACCCAAGCCATGTGTTGGGGGGGCCGCCCCCTGCAGAAAATTTGTTTTTTAACTTTTTTTTATTATTTTTTTAATATTTTGGGTTATTTATCTATTAATTTATACACTTTAACCCAAATTTTTTTTTAGCCCCCCACCCAAAACCCCCTGGATCCGCCCCTGCCAATACCCTATTCACACACACAACTTTGACATACATAATAGGGTTAATTGCAAAAAAATCCCCTAAACGAAAAAAAGTTGCACGAGCATACCTGAACTTATTAAATTGTTGCACCGACAACTACAAAGCCCCATTATAGCAAAATTTATGCCTGAATTGCACACGTACAACTCACACGTGAAAATGAAGGGGCAATTTCGTCCATTCACATGATTTTAAGGAAAAAGAAAAAAAAGAAAAAGAAAAAGAAAAGAAAAAGACAAAAGAAAAAGAATAAATAAATCGGACCCCATTGTTGAAGAAGAAGAAGTAATTGTTGTTGTTTCTGAACCTCAAGCGGCAATCTTCATCACCGCCACCAACTCATCATCGTCATTGTTGGAAGAATCACTCCCGCCGCCAACTCATCATCGTCATTGTTGGAAGAATCACTCCCGCCGCCGCCGGTGATAAGGAACGCCAAATTGGATTCGAATTGGAAAATAACTATTTAATTCGTAGAAGAGTTATTTATGGGCATCGGTGGAGATACCGAAAGAAATTACGGAAAAATAAGGGTTTTCAACGAACTCAAATTGTATTTGAGTACGAAACGAACTCTACCTCAAGTAAAACGGCGCAAGGAACAAAACTCATGAGCAAAGCTCATGAATCACGTCAAATTTCAGCAATCCAACGTCGTTTGGACTCCTAAAAGTTCGTTTTTGCTATTTTAGGTAAGTTTTAGAAAATTAATATCAAATCATAGAAAAATCGGATTAGGATTCCGTAAATTGGGTTGTTCCCAAAATTACGAGATCTACTAGAATCAGACTCTAACTCGTTTTTGCCGTTTTTGGTAATTTTTATTATTTTCTTAGTTTAATTAGGGTTTTCAGTTTTTTAGTATAAATAGGTGCCTTAGGACTTTATTTTGAGGAGAATTTCGAATTTTAATATAATATATAGAGTTTTCTCTATTTTTCTGGTGGATTCCAGAGTTTTCGGTGGATTCCGAATGTTATTTTGTTCTATAGGATTAATTCGTAGAAATTAATTCTTTACCGTGCTTCCGTCCTGCGTCAGTTGGCATCAGTAGCGAGGTTTTTCCTGGTTAGATGGCGAAAGGTGCGAAACATGGAGACAACAACTACGTTGGCGATGACCGCGGGGTTGAAAAATTGCAAAATCTGCGGTTGGTGCGCGAGGGATTTGCCCTTAACAACAACAACAGAAGGACTGAATCTAACACGATGATTGCCGACGGTGTAGCCCGAGGTGCATATGTTAAACACAATTATCATGGACCTGTTCAACTTCAATCAAGGTATGATGACTACTCAAAGGTGAGCGGCAACTCTTATTTTGAAGAAAATCCGCCTATAAAGAGGCAAAAGGATCGTGATAAATATCGGGTAAGAGCTGAAATTCCTTCTTTTAGTGGAAATTTTCTTGAAGTTGAGGATTTTATCGAATGGGTGTCAGAAGTCGAAAATTATTTTGAATTGATGGATATTTTGCCGAATAAGATGGTAAAATTGGTTAGGTGTGAGTTAAAGGGTTGTGCAGCCGCATGGTGGGATGAAATACAGAGGAAGAGAGCTAGACAGGAAAAGTTTCCAATCCAATCATGGAGGAGGATGAGAAGAATGTTGATGGATCGTTTTTTACCCCTAGGTTATGAGCAACGTCTATTTCAACTATATCGTAATTGTTCGCAAGGGAGTAGATCTGTTAACAAGTATACTGCTGAGTTTATAGGACTAGCAAACTTAAATAACCTGCAAGAATCCGAAAGTATGGAAATTTCAAGGTACTTGCAAGGATTGAATATTTCAATCCGTCTTAGGATGGGGTGGCGCGCATTCGACTCCCTTGAAGAGGCCCAAGAGTTAGCATGGGAGGAGGAATATTATCAGAAGCGAAATAGTTACTCTAGAAAAACCGAAGATGTTCCACCCGTTGTCAAAGTTAAGGAAGCACAAGGTACTTCGTTTGTTATTCAACCTCCAAATTTGGTGGAGGGTCACGACGTAGGTGTTGACGAAGTTGAAGAGGAAATTGTCACAAAAGTTAAAATTAGCGTAGCTATGATTAACGATGACATTAACGAAATCAAGATGAAAGTCGATGAAGTTGAAGGAAGAGTCAACGAGGTTGAAGAGAGCATCAACATAGTCGAAGAGAGCGTCAACGGGGTAGAAGAGAACGTTAGCAAGGTTGAAGAGAGAGTCGATGAGTTTCAAGAGGGTGTTAAAAACAAATTTGAGGAAGAATTTGAAGTTGTAAAATTTGTTCAAGAAGAGGAAGGTGCACGTGAAGAGAAGGAACAAGTGGATTGCGTCGAGGTATGTGATCTAATTGTAGATAGTGTTTGCTGTGAAGTTCCTGTATCGGAGAAATTGGTGGAGCCATTGAGATTTTCGATTAAAAAGCCAATTTTTCCAACGCCTCGTTTGGATGAAGATTTTGTTAGCGAGATTTTTGTGCCGGGAATATTGGTGGGGCAATTGAAGTTGTTTCGAAAGAAATATGCATCGCTATATTTTGATCATAGCTCGAGGTCGAGCTCTTTTGAAGAAGAGGAGATTGATAAGGAACGCCAAATTGGATTCGAATTGGAAAATAACTATTTAATTCGTAGAAGAGTTATTTATGGGCATCGGTGGAGATACCGAAAGAAATTACGGAAAAATAAGGGTTTTCAACGAACTCAAATTGTATTTGAGTACGAAACGAACTCTACCTCAAGTAAAACGGCGCAAGGAACAAAACTCATGAGCAAAGCTCATGAATCACGTCAAATTTCAGCAATCCAACGTCGTTTGGACTCCTAAAAGTTCGTTTTTGCTATTTTAGGTAAGTTTTAGAAAATTAATATCAAATCATAGAAAAATCGGATTAGGATTCCGTAAATTGGGTTGTTCCCAAAATTACGAGATCTACTAGAATCAGACTCTAACTCGTTTTTGCCGTTTTTGGTAATTTTTATTATTTTCTTAGTTTAATTAGGGTTTTCAGTTTTTTAGTATAAATAGGTGCCTTAGGACTTTATTTTGAGGAGAATTTCGAATTTTAATATAATATATAGAGTTTTCTCTATTTTTCTGGTGGATTCCAGAGTTTTCGGTGGATTCCGAATGTTATTTTGTTCTATAGGATTAATTCGTAGAAATTAATTCTTTACCGTGCTTCCGTCCTGCGTCAGCCGGAACCCGTACTCCATCAACACAGTACTCCGATCTTGTTGTTGACCCTCTTCTGTGGACTGCCACCACATCCCTTTACAAAATGAGTTCTCAACTTATCACTGCGAAGTTCGTAAAGAGCTAAAGAAGCCAAAAGTTAGGGTTTTTCAGAGGTGAACTCGAATCAAGGATTTGGGGGGAGGGAGATGAAATTGGGGTAGTGGAAGGGAAAAAAGATTGAGATTCATTGGAGATTAGGGATTTTTTATATTGAATTTTTAGCAATCTTATATGATAATTTCAGGTGGTGGTGCGGCGGCGGTGGAGAGAGATGGTGGTGGCGGTGGTGTGAAAAATCTTCCTTCCCCTGTTTTGCAGCAAGAGGGAGACGAAGAAGATGATGGGTGGGCTTCTTTTTTTTTTTTTCCTTTTTCCTTTTTTCTTTTTCTTTTCTCTTTTTATTTATTTATTCTTTTATCTGAAAGTCTTGTGAATCGACGAAATTGCCCCTTCATTTTCACGTGTGAGTTGCACGTGTGCTATTCAGGCAGAAATTTTGCTATAAATGGATTTTTTAATCGTCGGTGCAACAATTTAATAAGTTCAGGTATGCCCGTACAACTTTTTTCCGTTTAAGGGTTAAAGCGCTAAAACGTCCAAAGTTTAGGGGATTTTTTGCAATTAACCCTACATAATATACACATTCATATGCACTTTTGACACACGCTCAAACACACTTTTGATACATACAAACAATAATTACTGAACTACCACTTGACAAATAATTACAAAAATGTCATTCACCCATAATCACAAAACTACCACTTGCAAGTTAATAATAGAACTACCGCTCAACAATAATTGCGAGATATCACTCATCAATTAATTTCATAACTGCGCTCATCAAGTAATCACGGAACTGACATGCACCAAGTAATTACAACACTGCCACTCAACAGTAATCACAGAACTAACACTCGACAAATAATTACAGAACTGTCAGTCAACATTAATTACAAAAACTAATCATTCACCGGTTGAATGTCAACTTGTATATCTTAAAATCTCTAACTTATGTGGTTCAAAATCAATTATATCAAATTTCTGACTTACACATATGCACACTCTCCAACACATTTTTGACACACAAACACACATAACTCACACACTCGCAAGCTGAATTCATATGGATCGCATCGAATCGAATTGAATCCGGTTGAATCCATGGAACCGGCTCCAAATTGCGAGTCCTATTAAATAATTTGGAACAAACTCACATATTAGCATAAAAATAGAGGAGGTAGATGGACCGGGCCCACGCCGCCAGAATTCAAGAATTTAACGGTGCGGCACGAGACTCCCTTTTCCCACCAACCACTAGGTAGGTAGGTGATGTTTTCACGGGACTTTATTTGTTCCACGTGGACGATTGACCGCCGTCTGATTGTGAGGGTCCATTATATGAGATATTTCCTCTTTGGTACAATACATTTCCCATTTCCTCAATATGTGGACCATTACGTCCTTGGTGATTATTAATCTAAAAAAAAAAATATTAAATTAGTATTTTTGAAAAAAGGAAAGTATTTTATTTTTATACTTATAAATAATAATGCTTTACATACATTTTGGTTCGTTTAGTATATTTTTACTAAGAAATATATCACTCCTCCTATTTTTCCAATTAACTATATATGGTTTAAATTTTCGATATGGATGTTACGAAAGATTAATAAAAATCAACGAAAATTTCAAGACGAGAGATATTTCCCCTTATTTTTTTCTCTTCTCTTCTGGTCACTTATTCCGTTCTTAAGAATTAGTATTTGAGAGATTTTAGAGCGAGAAACGTAAGATTTAAATATGGATTTTAATCTCTTAACACTACAAGTTGCTAAATTGATTTCTTCTTTCTACTCCATCCTTCTCATTGTTATGTAAAAAAAAAAAAAAAAAAAGCAAAAAAAAACAAAAAAACAACTAAAGTTGTATCTGTATTATTAAAAATTGAAAATTGGGAATTGAATTAAGGAGTAGGCTTTTCTTGTAAGTTTTAAATTGGAAAGGTCACTCTTTTTCACCCACAAGCTTGCCTTGATCAAATTGGCTTTCTCTTTGAACATCAATTCCATGTTTTAGTCATATATACGATGTATTATATTATATAAATATCAATTAATTAAGTGAATTGTATAATCGAATACACCGAAAATATCCCAAGTGGAAAGAAAACTTGTACGTATCACGTGGTCAATATGCTTTTGCACCACGTGTGCTTTTTTGCACTTTTAGTTTTATAGTTGGATTCTCACAAGATCCCTTTTTTTTTTTAATTTTTTTTTTTTTTTAATTTTATTTAAGATCCTAATTTTATTGCTACATTTTTTCTTCTCAACTCTCTCTCCCCCAAATTTTCTCTGGTTGAGATATAAAATATATCTTAGTATTCTTCCTATTATCTTTACTGCAACCCCTGACATCAAGATTTGCTCTTCTTCCCCCAAATTATTCAGAAATCAAAACATTCTTGATTTATACTATTCAATCATTTCCCTCTGACATGGTTTAAGAATATTTGTACATCTTCTCTCTCATCAGCCTCTCTCTCTCTTGTTTTCAGTTCATAAAAATCAAATCTTTACAAGTTTCTTTGCAAAAAATCAGAACAATTTTTAGAGAGAGAGAGAGTAATTTGGGAGAAATGCAAGCTGTTCTACAGTCAAAAGGGCTTCTTTCCCTACCTTCAATTCCAAGAAGAACCAGAGCTTTCATCACACAACCCTCATCCGATTTGAGGTGCAGATTCAACCCTACAAACCCAATTCCAAAATCAAGAACCCTAAATGGGTTCCCAAAATTCCCAAATTTTGTCACAAGACCTCAATTAATCTCCCAAAAGAACACAAATTACCCCAAATTCAGGGCCGATGCTGCAGCATCATCATCACCACCAGATGGGGTCCAGCCCTTGTATGAAGATCAAGAAACCCCCAAATTTATGGGCATCGAAACTGTAACCCTAAAAAAAATCATACCACTTGGGCTGATGTTTTTTTGCATTTTGTTCAATTATACAATCCTCAGAGACACAAAGGATGTCTTAGTGGTGACAGCCAAAGGGTCGAGTGCCGAAATCATACCGTTCTTGAAAACGTGGGTGAATTTGCCCATGGCTATTGGGTTCATGGTCTTGTACACGAAATTGGCCAATGTGCTTTCAAAGCAGGCCCTTTTCTACACGGTTATGCTTCCGTTTATCGCCTTTTTCGGGGCGTTCGGGTTCCTGCTGTACCCGATGAGTGAGTACTTCCACCCCACAGCTCTTGCTGACAAGCTGTTGACCAGTTTGGGTCCGAGGTTTCTTGGTCCGCTTGCGATTTTGAGGATATGGAGTTTCTGTTTGTTTTATGTCATGGCTGAGCTTTGGGGGAGTGTTGTTGTATCTGTTCTGTTTTGGGGGTTTGCTAATCAGGTAATTAATTCAGCTGCAGATTCGGTTATCGAACTTTTGCTTTGGTGCATCTCCGTTATTCAAGATTCTTCCTTTTTTTTACTTTTATGAAGGCAAATGATTTAACTATGAAAAGTTCTGTTCTTGATTGGTCGTGATTTGTGCTTTTTCTGGTGTTTTATCGAACGGATCGGATTGGAATTGGGCACATTCCCGAAGTGAAAAATTGATTCCGATTCCGTTAAAAAAGAATCGGAAATTACATCCCAATTTCCATCCCCGAGTGTTGTATACGGTGGAGCTGAGTGAAGTTGTCTTAAAAACTGTCTTTAGGAAGGTGTTTGATATTATCCGTTTTTAGGAACGTGTTCAAATACATTATAACGAATACATTCGATCTTGTCAATGAATTCCAATTTTTTAGCTCTTATTGTGAACTAATCTCGATTTCATTGTGTTCAATATAAACTTTCTTGCAGATTACAACCGTCGAAGAAGCCAAGAAATTCTACCCTCTTTTCGGGCTCGGAGCAAATGTGGCGCTTATATTTTCGGGCCGAACGGTAAAGTACTTCTCTCAAATGAGACAAAACCTGGGGCCCGGAGTTGATGGGTGGGCCATCTCCCTCAAGGGTATGATGAGTATCGTGGTGGCTATGGGGTTGGCTATTTGTTTCCTTTATTGGTGGGTAAATCGTTATGTTCCTCTTCCAACCCGTAGTCTCAAGAAGAAGGTAATTTATCTTCAAGCAACGCCTTTCTTCGAGTTCTTGATATTGGTTTTAAATTATTATATATTTTGCTCTATTTTGTACTACCCCGTTCCATTATTAATGCATTTTTTCCTGCTTTACCTTTATTAATCGTATCCAACTGTATTAAGCATTAAGTTGTAAAGGTTATTTTAGTCTTTTTTATGTGTTTTTCCTAAAATTTAACCATATTTAATAACTTTCTTAATATATATGTAAGAACTTTAAACAACGGATATTATGGAACGGATGGAGTATTATGTAATATTATAGTAGTACATGTGATTTTGAGTTTTTTTAGTTTCTACTTATTATGAGTTGCGTATTAATTCATCTTTTTATTTATTTTGTTTATTAATTTTTATTCTTTAGGATAAGCCAAAGATGGGGACAATGGAAAGCTTAAAGTTTTTGGTGTCGTCGAGATATATTAGAGATCTTGCCACTTTGGTCGTCGCATATGGTATTAGCATTAACCTCGTCGAGGTTACATGGAAATCGAAGCTCAAAGCTCAGGTAAAAACTATAAAAAAATACGCTTTTGCCCTTATTATTATTTTTTCAAATTACGCCTTTACCCTTATTGTGGCTAAAAAAGAAAGAAGAAAAAAAGCTACGCTTTTACCCTTATTATTTTTTTGCCATTTTTTTTAACTCCTCGACATTTAAAAAATGGTGTAGTTCCCAACGCCGAATGAATATTCATCGTTCATGGGCGATTTTTCGACCGCCACCGGAATAGCAACCTTCACAATGATGCTTTTGAGCCAATGGATCTTTAGCAAGTACGGCTGGGGAGTGGCGGCAAAGATTACTCCGACGGTGTTGCTTCTCACCGGAGTTGGCTTCTTCTCCCTCCTCCTATTCGGCGGTCCTTTGGGTCCCGCTCTTGCTAATTTCGGGATGACCCCTCTTTTAGCGGCTGTCTATGTTGGAGCCATGCAGAATATTTTTAGCAAGAGCGCGAAATACAGCTTATTCGATCCGTGTAAGGAAATGGCTTACATTCCTTTGGACGAGGATACCAAGGTTCGTCACTTTAAACCTTCACTATTAACCTTTTCTTTTTTTTCAACTTATTTATTTCGATCCGAAATTTTGCATCAAATATCATCCGCAAAATGATAATGTAAAATTAAGTAAATAAATTAATTCATTATCATATGTTGTGTATACTAGGCCATCGTTTGGTTGCCACGATGAAATTAGCCAAAAATAAAATAATTTGCAATTCTATTTGGGATAATTTTATATTTCGAAAAGGGGTCGAATACACAATTCCCAAATAAGACAATATTACCGATTAAGGGGTAAGTTTTCGGTAATCTTGAAAATTTATTGAACTAACCAACAGTAAATTAGTCTCGATTGTTTACTTAATCATGACATATTTTCTCAACCAAACAAGAAATTTTCCATGTTTAGAAGTTGTTCGATGGCTATTTCTTACATGAGATTTTTATTTTAATTTTTTTGATCTTTTTTAGGTTAAAGGGAAAGCGGCGATTGACGTTGTGTGCAATCCGCTCGGGAAATCCGGAGGTGCATTAATACAGCAATTCATGATTCTAACATTCGGATCCCTAGCGAATTCGACCCCCTACTTAGGTGGCATTCTTCTCGTAATAGTTCTTGCATGGCTAGGTGCCGCCAAGTCATTGGACGGCCAATTCACCGCTTTGAGACAAGAAGAAGAGCTCGAGAAGGAGATGGAAAAAGCTGCCGTGAAAATACCCGTTGTCTCTTCGGACGAAAACGGTTCAAACGGATCTCTTTTAAGCGGGTCGACCCTGAACCCGTCAGATGCTTCTTCATCTGAACCCTCGTCATATCCTAAGAATGCTTGATTATTATTATTATTATTATTCCTTGATAGATTTTCTTTTTTAGGCATAGAAATAAGTAGAACTGAAATACGTGTGTAGTTGTTAGTTGGTATCTATATATATCTCTATTGTGTGATGTGGTAAGGCTTTTTTTCTCCCTTTAGATGTTTAATAGAAATAATGTTGAATTTTGATTTGGACAGGTTCTTGAATCCTGTTAATGTTTAATACATTTATTTTGAACCAATTATTTCCAGATGATCTTTGCTTATGATTCAATTGCCATGTATAAGAAAATAGTAAGGGCAAATTAAGACCATCCATTGAGGTAAGGTTAAATTATGAAAAAACTCCTCATGTTTGTATGATTACAAGCACCCCACTTGATTATGTATTATCTTATGAAATAATCCCTCCACTTGATAAATTTAGGGGCGTTCATTCGGAAAAATGTACAGAAATTGCGGTTACCCAAAATTTCATACCGTTTAACATTAGGTTCGATTAATAACCGAATTACCAAAATTTTATTAAAAATATTTAAAATTTTGATTTTTTTTTAATTTATTTTAGTTTAAATATTAATATTACATATATAAAATAAAATAAAACTGAATACCCCACCGAATTAACGATTCGGTAATCGGCATGTACGGATTTTCGTTTGGTTCGATTTGATCGGTTTACCGACTGGATGAATATTCCTAGGTAAATTTGATATTGCAAGGGTGGACGTGTAAGAAAATACATAGTTGAGGAGAGTGGTTGTAATTATGCAAACAATAGGGGTTTTTTCGTAATTATACCTTACTTCAGGGGGTGGTCGTAATTTGCTCAAATAGTAAAATGGAATGGGCTTTGAGGATAAAGAGAAGCCCAAGACGAAGGAAAATCCGATCGAAAAAGAGCCTAACTCCTCTACGAGACCTAAAAAAATGAGTTTCGGGGAAGGTTTCAGGCGTTACCGCTCCGACGGTCAAATCAGTAGGATAAAGTTGGAAAACGATATATCTCTTAGAGAGAAGTAAAAAATTGTGTATCGAATGTAATGTTTGAAGAAAATGAACCTGTCTCTCCTTGTATTCCACGTCAGTCGGACATAGTGGAAAACGATATATCTCTTAGAGAAGTAAAAAAATGGTGTATCGAATGTAATATATGAAGTAAATAAACACTTCTCTCCTTGTGTTCCACTGGTGTATTTATACCTGCCATATGGGTGGGTCTGGTGGAACCACTATCTTATCAAGTCACGACCCACGTGCAGGGTGACGTGACATGCTGCGAGCTCATTTTACCTATTGAAGGCGATCTGCTTCCTCTCTCTACGTACGACCTCGGTTGCACCGTGGTTTCTCTTTAGCTGCCCTAAGTTTGCTCGATGTTAGTTGATGGGCCCCTTTTCAGTACACGTCACGGTGCAGGCTTTCCGCCGTTATTTCTGACATTGGGCCGAATGTAATCACACCCGCCACTTACACATACTCTACATGGGACTATTTGGTTGGCTTTAGCGGTTGCAGTTAGGGTTGCAGTTAGAGAAACATTTACTGAATAATAAAAATGCAGGAAAAAAATAACCGTTGCTCTGGTTTTTAAATTTTAGTAGCAGTTAAAGGACAAATAAAGCATAATGCAAATATTCCATTTCAAGGACAAAACCATCATGGCTTATTCTGTATTGCATACAACCAAAAATTCATTACAGCACCAAACAACAAATTATGACAGTGACTTCAAATGGATGGATGGATGGATCTCCATCTTACACACCTCACTTGTTTTTATTTACCATTCTACCCTCGTTTTCTAACCACCATGTATTAAAAGGAAAATATCTCCGAAATCGACCTTCTTTTATCGTTTTCGTACTGCCAAATTAATCGTACAACATACTTTTCGTAATGCCATTTTGTCAAGCAAAAATACAAATGTGTCGTGTAGATTGTGTTCATAGCTTGATCACTACAAGAATTATTTATTTATTTATTTTAATTTTTATTTTATGGTCTTTATCAAAACTTTTCAAATAATTCCTTACACAGAACTTCCCAACAATACACTAGTGCACATTCTTGAATTATTACATTCTTGAATTGTACTAAAAATGCAGAACCTGGAAGAATATTCCGAACTGATCACATTACCGTCGGGGGAACTCAAGCCGTTCATGTCCGAGATCGATGACTGCATTTCGGACATGGATTATTTTATCAAGACCTTATCTAGCCTCAAGGATAAGGCAATCCGGCCGGACCAGATTAGCTCAATCATAACACACTGCGCCACCAAATGGCTTCCCGAGCTAGCCCTCGACCAACAATTAGAACCCGTTGCCACTACTACTCCTAAACACGACGCCGTTTCATTGACCAAGAAAAGGCTCTTCATCGAAACTCTAATCGGAATTCTTCCCCCGGAGAAAGAGTACTACATTAATAATATAATCCCATGCAACTTCCTCTTGAGGCTTCTACGGGTCGCTAATACGAGTCGGGCGGGACCCGTTTATGTTTCCGAGCTCGAAAAGCGGGTTTCTTTGCAGCTCGACCGGACTTCTTTGAAGGAATTGAGATTGTTGTTCGATTTCGGGCTCGTTCTTCGCTTGGTGAGGGGGTTCGTGAGCGCAGGAGGAGATGCCGCCGGTGGGAAGGTGGCGGTGCTCGTGGACAGTTATCTAGCCGAAGCGGCTAGTGATGACGGCTCATGTGTGGTGGCGGTGAGTGCATTTGTGGAGCTTGCTACTGCGATTCCGGGCCATGCACGGTTGATGGATGACGGGCTTTATCGGGCAGTTGACATGTACCTTAAAGTAAGTTTTTGTTTCATCGCACCTTGTCTTTTTGTTTTTTTAAGTGAAAATAGTCGTCGTACGACAACTTATGATCGATACATGGATCGCATCTAGCCAGACACAATTGGCTAATGCGATTCATCGATGTTAGGTTGAACACGAAATTAAGAACAAGAAGATATAGATAAAACAAGAGTTATAGGTAGAAGCTAAGAAGGCCTTTTAATTTGCCTTGTAGAAACCTAAATTTCTCCTTTATGGTTCACAAAAATGGAATAAAGTTGGAACCTTGTAAAGTAGCAAAAAAGGGCCTTTAATTTGGAGGTATATTGACAAGAACTTTATGTGTTGTCACAAGCACTAGATTCTTTAGCAAAAAAGTATAGTCAATTCATTTTCTAAATAATAGGAGCTGGTAAGACGTTCAATTAACAAGATTTTTATTTATTTAAACTAGCTACAGAAGTTAAATTTAAGTCCACAATTAAATACTATTATCGATTGAATTTGTAGCATCCCTCATCCCTCCATCCCGAGAGGGTTTGACTAAACAACGATAGTGTTATTTTATCCTTTAAATTCCATATTAGTTTTCTTAAATGAGAGGTAAGATTTACTAGAATTGAACAGAGTTAGAGGGTGTTTGGCTAAGCTTATTTTAAACAACTGACAAGCTGTTACATCTTATTTTTTATATGATTAATTTTTAGAGTTTTTAGATAATGAAATAGAAATAACATACCATATGTAATGGTTTGGAAGCTATTGAACGAGATCGTAGATTTACCCGGGGCACCTATATAATTGCTTTCGCGGGTTCGTTCGTTATTTCAATCTTGGCAGGCACATCCAGAGGTGTCGAAACAGGATCGAAAAACACTATGCAACTTAATCGACACCAACAAGCTATCGCAAGAGGCGTCTCTCCACGCATCCCGAAACGAGCGGGTCCCGGTTCGGGCCGCGTTCCAGATTCTCCTCTCGGAGCAAACTAAGCTCAAGAGCCACTTTATTGAGTGGAGTGGATCAATGAGCTGGGGCCCGCACAGCCCGGCCCGTTACTCCTCAAATCGCGAAACGGGCCCTTCATGGATCGAGATCGAGAGGTTGAAGGAGGATGTTGTGAGTATCCAGAGCCGGTGCATGGCCATGGAAATGCAGATTGAGAAGATGAAAGAGGAGAAGAAGACGAAGAAGAGAGGGTTGTCTTATTTGATGAGCTGGAAGAAGAATTTAGTTGGTGTTAATAATCCAGGGTTTAATAAGGATATAATAATTGAAGATCAAGAAATTGAGGCTGGTTCGAGGATTAATGTACGAGGTAGAACTCACACTTACAGGAGGAAATCATTGTCCTGAATAAATTTAGAGGGAAATATTCGCAACGGTTGGTTATGTTTTCAGTTCAATTTAATTCTTTTCTCGAAACGAATTCGTGTTTAATTTTCAAATTATTCTCGTATAATACATTTTCCCCAACACCTTTTAACAGATTTTTTAACCGCTACAGTATATTTTAACAAAAAAATAGTTTAATTCTCTAATTAGTACTCCATCAAAACATATTTCCATAAAATAAAATGAAAATAAGTCCTAAAAACGAATCCAAATTTCAATTATATTCATAAATAAATTTAGGAAAGAAATAAATAATTAAAGAAGAAAATGAAATAAAACAAACTCCAATTTAGCCCAAGTAATCCTTGAAGAGCCATTTTCAATCCGTTTTTTCTCTGACTGTTCATCCCTTCGTGCGGCTCTTTTTTGTCCACGAAAGCCATAATTATTAATTTACATTAAATGCCACTTAAAGAATGGGCATCAAGATTATTCCCACTATCTGTATTCTGTGGTTTAGTTGCAAATTCTCAGTTGACACTCTCTCTCACGCACCCACACACACACACGCGCGCGGCAATATGTCCGATGAATCGCCGGAAACAACCACCCCGCTCCTCCGCCGGCAAATTGATGGTTGGCGCCACCGTATCACCAACTCCCTCCGCCTGAAGACCAGCCTCCTCTCCGAGCTGAGTGGCGCCGTCGGCGACCTAGGCACCTACATCCCCATAGTTCTGGCCCTCACCCTAGTCTCGAACCTCGATCTCTCCACCACCCTCATCTTCACCGCCCTATACAACATCGCCACCGGCGTCCTATTCGGCACCCCCATGCCCGTCCAGCCGATGAAATCCATCGCCGCCGTCGCCGTGTCGGAGACACCCCATCTGACGGTCTCCCAAATCGCCGCCGCCGGCATCTCCACCGCCGCCGTCCTCCTCTTCCTCGGAGTCACCGGACTCATGTCCGTCCTCTACCGCTTCCTCCCCCTCCCCGTCGTCCGCGGCGTTCAGCTCTCACAGGTGATTTATCTAGGTTTTCAAAAACTCATGAAAAAGTTGTTTCTTTCATTGCAATCTGATCGACTGAATTTGGGGATTTTTTTTTTTATTATTTATTTATTAATATTATTATTATTATTATTTTTAATAGAAGATGGTAATGTAGTCCTTTAATCATGAAAATTTAATGTGAATTTATATTATCGAGCCTCCAAAGCTGTTTTTGAGCTTGATTCAATTAGCACTCGAGCTGAACTTGAGTAGCTTGAATTTATACTAACGAAACGAGCTTTTACTAATCGACGATCTCGAATCAGAGTATCGAGTAACTTAGGTTTACTTTTCGATTCCAAAGAAGAAATGTTTCTATAAATTCGTAAAGGCAAATCTTAACCTTTATCCGCAGGGGCTCGCATTCGCCTTCTCCGCAATCAAATACATTCGGTACAATCAAGATTTCACCACAACAACAGCAACAAAAACCACCGATCCCCGCCCCTGGCTAGGCCTCGACGGCCTCATTCTCGCACTCACTTGCCTCCTCTTCCTAATCCTCACAACCGGTGACGGGAATAGCAACGAAATCCGCATAAATAGCGATGCACCAATCACCCGCCGAACAAGAATCCAAAAACGGCTCAAAATTCTGTCGGCGATCCCATCCGCCCTTATCCTCTTCCTCCTCGGCTTGATCCTCTGCTTCGTCAACGACCCGTCTATTTTCAACGAGATAAAACTCGGCCCGTCTAAATTCCACGTGTTGAAAATCACGTGGGACGATTTCAAGGTCGGGTTTCTACGGGGGGCGGTTCCACAAATCCCGTTATCCGTTTTGAACTCCGTGATAGCGGTTTGTAAGCTCTCGGGCGATTTATTCCCCGGTACGGAATTATCCGCCACAAAAGTCTCGATCAGCGTGGGGCTGATGAATTTGGTGGGTTGCTGGTTCGGGGCGATGCCCGTTTGCCACGGAGCGGGCGGGCTGGCCGGTCAGTACCGGTTCGGCGGGCGGAGCGGTTTGTCGGTGGTGTTTCTTGGGGTGGGGAAGTTGGTTCTAGGGTTGTTGTTCGGGAACTCGTTTGTGAGGATATTGAGGGGGTTTCCGGTCGGGATTTTGGGGGTGCTTTTGTTGTTTGCGGGGGTGGAATTGGCCATGGCTTCCAGGGATATGAATTCGAAGGAGGATTCGTTTGTGATGTTGGTTTGCGCGGCGGTTTCGTTGACTGGTTCGAGCGCTGCGTTGGGTTTCGTGTGCGGGATCGTTCTTTATTTGGCGTTGAAATTGAGGGAGATGGACTTTTGTTTCTGGAAATCTGTGTCTGGTTCTGCTGATGAACATGAATCACTTCTTTGAGCAGCTATTTGTATATTATTATTGATCTGTATATGAATCTGAAAATGTTAAATGTCGGTTTTAATTTTACTAATGCCGTTTCGACTTCAAATGTGATTTTGATCCCTTTGCAGTCCAAATTCGGCAAAAGACGAAACACAAAATTTGTAATTATTTGGATTTTGAAAAACACGGCGTACGTTCATTTTCATTCATAACTCTCTCACCCGGCATACAATTTAGCTGATTCAAATTGGATTAGAAAGGCAATTCGAATAAATACAAATTTTATGTTGACTTTTGCCAAATTCTAATTATAAATGGTCAAAATCACATTTGAAGTCGAAACAGATAGGGTTCTTCGCTCTCGTCGAGCTTGGCTTTTATTGCTTAATCAAAATACACGCACATATGAAATATATACATCAAAATTCAAATTCCGCAATATGTTATGATAGCAGATTCAGTGGTGGGCCCCCCACCATTCTTGCAATATTCCAAGAATTCCAAATTATTGAAGGGCTTAAATTTCAATGGATTTTTATTATCAACAAGCTCCTCCGGAACTTGCAATATTCCACCAATGAAAGAAAAGAATCCCACAGAATACCTTATTTCCATTTCAGCCCCTCTTGCTACCACTCTGTGTAGAGGACTATATATTCTTCCATTACTCCATGCCTAATATTTTTATAACATTTTTAATTAAAACATATTTTTAATAATAATATAATAAATGGGAGGAAATAGAAAAATAACTGACCATGAATGCTTCGCCGGCCAAGACGAGGAACTTGGAAGGCGAGGGCTCGAAATCGATCCACTCGCCACCTGGAGTTTCGATCTGCAGACCTCTGACTTCATTCGTACCGATCACGGTTAGAAAACCCTTGTCCCTATGGGACTGCAGGCCGATATCGCTCTCGTTTTCGCCAGGTGGACGGTATTCGATGAGCCTAGTCATGTACAATGAAGAATCGACTAGGTTGTCGTAGTATTTGTCGTCCAAGCCGTAGCTACTAACCACCATTTTCATCACCGTGTTGTGCAATTCGCTTAGCAAATTACTATATGAGTGTATAGTTTCACTTCAAAGTTCCACAAAAAAAACAAAAAATGAGGTTAAAAAATTGTGTGTCTATAAAGTAAATTTTTTTTTATTTGAATCCTAAGATAAGAATATTAGTTGAAATAAAATAAGCAATTTTTACAACACAAGAATATACAATTAGGCAACCCTTCTATATTTTTAACACTAAATAAATCTACAAAATATATTGGGTAACGGTCAACTTGAGATGATGTTAAATTACGAAAAAACCCTTATGTTTGGGTAATTACAAATTTTCCTCAATTATGAATTTTTTTACACGTCCACCATTATGGTGTCAAATTCAATAGAGATTTCATGGAATTTTCTCTAATTTGTACTTGTTTTGTAAAAATGCGATTTCTGATGCACCACAATCTGATATTACAAGTCAAGAGACACATCTTATGATCCATTTATTTCGAAATGTGGAGCTCGAATGAGGTAAAATGGGTATTATTATAAATTGGAGAATATTCCACATAATCTAGAAGATTCCACTAAATTTAACATCACTAGAGCGGACGTGTAAAAAGATTCATAATTGAGAGATAATTGTAATTACTCAAAGATTATAAGTTTGTTTCGTACGTAATCTGACATTACCTCAATGGTGGCCGTGATTTAACCTAAAATATTTTAACCAAAAAAGATTACAAATATATGATCTTAATTGATTTTCATAAGTCAACCGTATAGATATGCTCTAAATTGAAGAAAGTTGCATACACGACTTCTTGAAATATTTTGAACTAATCAAATATTATTAGTACATTTATCAAAAAAAAAAAAGAAAAAGAAAGAAAATCAAATATTTTATTAAATAAATTACCAGAAAATGTCATGTCCATGGTGATGAGGCCACATGAGGGTGGTGAAGTCTTTGATACCTTGGTGGGTCCCACCATCTTCAATCCCAAAGCACTGAAACAAAGGCATCTCTGGATAATTACCTTCGTACCCAAACCCTAATAATCCAGACTTGTGTTTCATCTTCGTCTCCAACGGCAGCCCAAACACCTCCTTCAACACCCCGAACACACCGCCCTCCACCGCCGCCGCCGCCGCTGCATGAACGTTGTCGTAATCCACCACCACACATCCGTGCAATTCCAGTGCACGCCGGACCGAATCCGACGTCGATTTCCACGAAGTTGTACCGAGGGTTGAGTTCGCTTCGGTGAGTTGTACTATGTGTAGCTTGGAATCCATGCTTAATTATTAGGGATTAGTTATTATCCTTGATTAGCACTCACTAATCAACGGCCATGGCTTAAATAAAAATGATTAGGTTCACTAATTTAATATAATAGTATTGTAGTTACTATCAAATTGTGTCATTTTGCTTCCTAGTTAAAATTATCAAATGCATGTTGATGACAAGTGTAATATAATTTTGCAAAAAATAAAATAATAATAATAAAAAATAAAATAAAATAAAACAATGTTATTTTATGTAAATTTAGATTAATTTGAGGTTAACTATTTTTGATAATTATTTTGAATTCACTAAACATTTTAACTAGTAAAAGCTATATATATATATATATATATATATATATATATATATATATATATATATATATATATATATATATATATATATATATATATATATATATATATATATATATATATATATATATATATATATATATATATATATATATATATACATAAACTTAATTTAAAAAAAAAATTAATTTGATGTAATTAGCCAACTTACTTGCACAAAAAATGCGAAATCCCTCGCTCCCAGGGCCCCATCCCTCCCGATAAGGATTGATGGAGGAATGTAAATCATGGTAACTCAACGGTTCGTTAAGGTAGCTGGCCTGATCCGGACCTGGTGCCCACAAGGAACCAACCCTCATTGGAGTTGAAATTCCCACATTGGGGCTGCCAGGATTCGATCCTAGGACCTTGCATTAACTTACCACCTTCGGGACCAGTTGAGCTACACCCATGCGGGCTATATAGCCAACTTACTACATGCATACATCATCGTGAAAACCATTTTCCATTTAATTGATATGGATTAATTAATATTAAAGTCTCCATCTTTCAACTACTGAAATGTCACACGATTGGGAAATATATGATTCTTAAATTATTTAGTAGTCCACACAAATATTAAATTTAATTTGTGTGAATAGAATAAAAGACAATAATAAACATTTATCTACAAGTGAACAATTGTGGACTGTCTTTAAATGCGAAATTTTTAATATAAAAAGCTAGAGTTGAGCATGAGTCGGTTTTATATAGGATCGTTAGGAGGCGTCTGAAAGAAAATATTTTGGGAGGAGAAAATAAGAAAAGGAAAAAATTAAAATAAAAATAAAAAACCAATAAATAAATAAATACTGTAAATATTTTTTGGTAAAACACACTTTTATGGGGTTTAACATTTTTTTATGTGTGGAAAAGATGGATAATTGCAACTATGGCATTCCAGATATTTCAGGGCGAATGTGGATCTATGTGTAATTGAAACTTAAAGGAGGGTAGCAAAATGTGCAAATTATACTAAAGTAAATATTAAATCATATATAAAATTAGGCAAAAGGGATTTATAAGCTAGATCCCCATCAAACAAAGTGGACAAAATCTTGAAACTATATATATATGTGTTAATATAGTGTATTATCGCCACCGAAAAATATATACAAAATATAGATTTAACAATTTACAAAAAGCAATAAAAAAAAAATTATGATGACGTCAAAAATGGGGCTGGTTGTTATAACGGCGATGGTTTTAATCACGTGTTTCGCAGATGCAGGTGAGATTCATAAAGATTATACCCAATCAGAGGTTGTCAAGTGTTTGAGACTATGCCTGTCCACGTGTCCCATACAAATTAGTCTTTGTTATCAATCTTGTCTCAATATATGTACTAAGAAGAATATTGCCGCCGCCTCCGCTCCGGCCGCCTCCGGTCCTGCCGCCGCCATCTCCGCCGGTGGTCTGAACGGTGAAGTGGAAGTGTAATTGGAATAACTATTAAAGAAAAAGTTACTTTTTTTTAGTAATTTTTTCTTATTTTTGAATAAAAAGGTTACTACCTGTTATAATATTGTGGACTTTAGCAAATGGGTTATTAGTCTTTTGACAAGTGTTAAGACATGTGTAGTCATTTCCAACAATGTTAGATGAAATGTTGACAAGTGTTAGTGATGACTCATCACTTTGTATCTATAAATAGATGTACAAGTGAATTAATAAATATAATTTTTGGCTGCACTTTCTCTCTCTCTCCTTACACACTCTCTCTATCTTTCCCACTCACACATATATTATATTATATTATATTATGTAGTATATTATTATATTAATATAGTGTGTACATATATACATACATATACATAACCGTATATACATATATATATTAGTTACACATTAATAACTAGCTAATATTAATTAATTAATAATATTCACACCATTAGTATTTGTAATAAAATATTTAATAAACGAGCTAATGGGAATTATTTCACAACACGTTATCAGCACGAGGTTCTGCTCGGAAGAAGGTAGGTTATGTAAGTTTGTTTATGTTATTTTATTTGATAAAATCCAGATCCTCGATGTCAAATGGTGAAGCAAATACTACGGTATTTATACGCCACCGATTTTCGGAGGAAAGGAAGGATATATTTATCTATAATTATATGCATGTTGATTTATGAGAAAAAAAAGATTAATATCTCTCGCCTCGACTATGAATTTTCAACTTGCATTACATGATTTTGATTTTGTAAATTTAGAAACTTGTAATTGGCATGTGCAAGTTTCGATCTATTTATTTAATAATCTTGTTTAAATTAGCAAAGGGAAATGGGCTGATTTAGATAATAGAAATGAAAATGACTCCGTTGCATAGGAGTCCAAATTAAGGGTCGATTTAAAGGCTATATGATAATTATTCCGAACATAATGTTCGTAGAGAAGGTGGACGTCATAGTCCCCAATAATGGCCGATATAGAAGTTATAAATATAACTTCGGGTGTGATGCCGTAGAGTCACTAAAAATTGTGATTCCCCTCAAAGGCCAATAACACTATTAAAATTGGGTGATGTACCTATATAAACGATGGACAGTTTTGGATTGAAAGTCCATTAATTATAAAATTAAATATGGGGTTAGGCCTACAACGACGAAGTGAAAGATAGTCCTCGTCAAGATGTTCTTAAATTGACAAAGGTGGATGCAAATATTTCCGCCTAGATAATCATTTGGTCAAAATAAATTAAAACTCACGAGTTTATTGCCTACAAAATATATTTTTGCCTATGAGTAAATGTTATATATTTGAGATCATGCATGATAATATTCTTAATGGTTACGATATAACTCTCTCGATGTAACGGTTTTCGAGATTGAATTTATTTAATTATGAACATACCTCCCTCGGACGATATATACCCGAGGTTGAGCCTATAATATTTTCTCGAGATAAATATAAATGACGTCAAAATTTAAATACTTCTCTCGGTTGATTTTATTCCCGAGATTGAGCTAATTTCTAAGATAAAATTTATATATCTCTCTCGGAAGAAATATGCCCGAGATCGAGTTTATAATATCTCCCTCGGACGATACATTCCTGAGGTCGAGCTTAATTATATATTCCCCAAATAAAAATTTACGACTCTCTAGCTCGGACGATTTATTCCCGAGTTTAAGTTAGTAAAACTCTCTTGGAAGAAATATTCCCAAGGTCGAGCTTATACACCCTGATGATATTGGTAATATTTCAAAGTTAATTTACTATGTCTACTAATTGTGTAACATGTACATATCTCTCTCGGATGTTAAATTCCCGGGATGCAGTTTGCAAAACACCATCGAACGAGAAATTCTCGAGGTTGAAATTGTATATCTCTCTTGGATGTTAAATTCCCAAGATTGAGTTAGCATTTTATTGACATATTATTTAATATGGATGTACACACTACAAGAAAAAATGGTTTTAGTGACGATTTGTTATGGTTGCTAAAAGTAAGAAAATGGTTGCTAAAACTTATAGCGACCAAATTAGGCTTGGTCACTCGTGGTCACAACAGGGTGGCTACTAAAAGTATCAGTGACGAGCAAATCAGTTGGACGCTACATACATAGATTTAACGACCATCCAATAATGGTCATTAAAGATGGAATCATTAGCGACAAATATTTGACTCGCTAATGTTAAAATTAATGGTCGCAATAATATTAATATGGTTGTTATAGGTATATATATAGTGACCAAATATTTTTGGTTGATAAATGATATTCTTTTAGCAACCAAGTAGGTGGTTGCAATAGATTTTATATGGCCACAAACATAACATATTTTAGTGACCACATTGCGACCAATAAATTTATTGCTCAAAATAATAATTTAACTACAAGAATAGCTGGTTGCAATAAATTTTTATTTGTCACAATATATACCTCAATTTATGTGCATATAATAAATTTATTGCTGCTAAAAAAAAAAGACCAAATAACAATTGTAAGGAAAAATAATTAAAATTGATAGCTAGTTTGTACAAATTAGTAAGTAGCTAAGTAATTGTTGACAAGTCAATTAAATCAGTGATTAATACATATACAGGAGAAATCAAACACTGTCTTGCATACTAGTTGAACTAAACACCGTAATGACAACATTCACATCTGGAACTTGATTGAAGTAACATTATGAGATTCAACTGCCTCTCTGCCTCTCTTTGGGTGCCTGAAATTGGATGCCACAAAGAATCAGAAGACATACATGCAATAGTTTTCCCAATGTACTGATCATATAAGCAAAAAACACAACAAGGAAAATCTTATGGAATTAATCGATTTACCTTATCAGTAGAGCCACTAACTAAACTTTACCCTCAATTGCAAATTTGGCACTTAAAATTTATAACCTACGTAAGAGATGAAAATAGGGATCCAAGTTTATGAGAAACCAAGTTCAACGAATTTATCATAAAGAAACATGAAATGAAATATGCATATGATGCACCAGTTTTACCTTGTTTAAATGCACCAGTTACTACCTGACCTTCTGCAGGTCTGTCAAACATAACAACTTGTTAATCAGATCCAATAAATATAATGGCAATTACATCCTGAAATAATTATAGAAAAGCAATATAATAGCTAGCATAAATGTAAACTTAGATTTTCCAGCTATATGTAAGACATGAACATATACCTTTTGTATGTCAATTT